GGCAGGGACTAGTTCATTTTTGTCTTTGTACATACTTAGTACAATGCCTGGAATGTAGTTGAGTGCTTAAGAAATACTTTTGAATTGATGGATTGATTACCAAGCATTTAATTGAAGATCTCCAATGATTACCTAGTGAAAAATGCAATGGACTTTGAGTTAGAAGACCTAAGTTTTGGTCCCAGTTATATAAGTTCCTAATTGTATGACCTTGCTTAAATTTTCTAGACCTCAGTTTCATTGTCTGTAACATGGGGAAAAACTATGTGCATTATCTGCCCCACAGTTCTATCATAAGGAAAACATTTCCTAAGCTATAAAGCACCATGTACAAATAAGCTGATTATCAGCTCTCAAAGTAGTCAATTCCATTTTTGGACCAGCTATGATGTTAGAATTTTTTTTCTTATGTTGATCTTTGAAATTTGCTTCTCTGAAACTTGTGCCCATTGGGCCTCATTCCAAGTCCAAGCCAAAAGAACTTTGACAGCTTAAGAGCATGGACTTGAATTCAGGCCTCCTAACTCCAGGTCAGTCCCCTTTCTACTGTATCATTCTATCCGTGTTTCACTTCTCCTCTGGGCCTGAGGGGCAGACAGGCTTTCTTGGACCTTCTCTTATCAATTAGCAGGAATTTTTTTCCTGTGATATAATTTATATCATTCCCTATACTTCTTCACATCTCAGAACATGATGCACTAGCCTCATCATATACAAGCATTAGGTGATACACCAAGTAGGAGCAAGGAATTGACTAAAAAGTCAACTTTCTTTTCCCATATAGGACGTCAGGATTTAGATCCTGAGGGGCCCCAGAGGCATGTCCACCTTGTAGCACTAGGTGGCAGCAGCACATCCCATACACAGCCACCTACAAGTACACTAGAGACAGGCTCAGGATTATGACCTTATCCACCATCCCCCTCTGTCTTACTAATCATCACTTCCTTTCCACATTCTTCTTTTTGTTCTTTTATTCTAAAAGGGGAGGAAGGGGAATGAATAGAGAGAAAAGGGCAGGACGTGGGCTCCATTAGCACAAGGCTCTTGAGCCTTAATAGCAAATTTCTGAAGCCCAGAGTCAAAGAGAGAAGTTACATCACGTAGGGAAGGTAATAGAGAAGGAAGAGCTCTGTTCATCTGAATGCCTTTATCAGGCCATAGAACAATGTGTGGACATTCTCATAGCCCTAGCCCAAGAAAAAAAAATAAAATTCAACAGGTATTCTGTGCTCAGACCCTATTGATCAATCTAACTTTGATGAAGATGGAAAGTTGATGCTGTTTCCAAGAATGGGGTTCATTTTAAATAAAGATGGGCCATGAAAGAAAGTCAAAGGATCAGCCTGAGCCTGGAATATTGGAATAGGAAGGAAACAGTTGCTCCCAGAGGGATCAGTGGATTCCAATCAAAGAGGAGAATCAGTAAGTAAAAGAGAGCCTTCTGAGAGGCTCTTATTCTGTGGGTCCAGAGCTGAATTCCAGAGACAGTGAGTCTGCCCACACAGAAGTACTATGCAGCCACCCTCAGATTATGCTTTAGACACATAGGAACACCAAGGGAGGCAGGATGGTATAATGAAGAGTTTGCTGAACTGAAAGAAAGGGGAAATGTGTACTGTCTTGGCTCTGCCACTGTGTGATGCTGGGCAAGCCACAATCTCTTTTGGACCCTGTCTCCCGATATTCAAAATGAGAAAGGTCATTGGAGGTGCAGGTCTGAACTGAGACAGGCTCAGCTGGTCTAGACTGGTCATTAGACAGTTGTTCTGCAAAAGCCCTCTGTGTGGCAGTATCCTTTCCAAGACCATCTATGTGGTGGTAGAAGTGACTATTGTCCAGATTATCTAGATTTTTCCAAAGAGAGAGTAATAATAGCCAGTTACTGAACCTTCTCCTGTCCTGTTCTCAATCTGGAAATGTTAATGGTGACTGTGCTACTTACTACCTATGTGATTGTGGCCAAGTCACTTAAACCACTCCATAACTCAGTTTCTTCATCTGTAAAATGAAGGAGTTTGATTGGAGGACCCTTTTAACTCTAAATATATTCATCCATGATGACCAAACTATGACCCTCCTACCACCACCACTGTAAGATGTTCCATCTTGGCATCTTACAAATTTTCCTGTCCTTTTAATTGGTAGAATTCTAACCCCAAGAATCCATATCAACTTCCTGTCCACTCCAGACAGAATTTTCATTCTACAGTAACTAGAATAGTCTTGTTCACACAATTGTTCACTCGTCCATCCCATCCATCCTGTACTTCACCAAGAGTATTAGATGTGGAATAAGGAACACTTAGATTCCAATCTTGCTTCTAATACTTGCTAGCTCTGTGAGGGGACACAAGGGAGGGGCACATTATATTGGAGATATCCATCATTAAAATAAATAGATGTAGGAAGAGTGATGATTTGGGAATAGTGGTAAGAAAATAGAATAAACATCATCAGCTTCACCCTGTCCCCTCATGTTTTGCTAGTTGAATCTCTAGGGTGATCTCTAATCAATATACTTTTATCAAATGCCTAATATATGCCAGACACTGTGCTAAATGAGTCAGTCTCTAACCTGAAGGAGTTTACATTCTACTTGGGATATTTAACACATATCATGTAGTAGTGGTAGCCAAAAAAGGAAGTTTTGATCGAGGCAGTCATGTGAGAGGGAGGAAAAGAAAACCTATTCAGAAATAAAGGCCTACCCTGAAGAATAAAGAGTACAATCCTTTAAAAAGATGTACCAAAAACATATCTCATTCTGCCTTTCAGGCTTTCTTCTCGATATCAGGAGGCATATTTCAGCTTAAGTTCTTTGGACTTCATCATAATATTGATTTGTCATAATATTGCATTGATCAGGGTTCTTAAAATCTTTCACAGTCATTCTTTATAGTACTATTATTGTATAAATTATTCCCCTAGTTTTTCTCATTTCACTGTTCCTGCTGGGGTGAGGTAGGCAATAGTAGGCCAGATAGCGAGATGCTTTGATGGACTGGTGTCCTGGTGGATGGCTGAGTTAGATAATGGAAGTTGAAAAATATACTCCAATCAATTGTCTTCCCTTCCTCACTCTCAATCCATTCAACAAATATATATTGAGGGACTACTATGTGCCCACCAAGGCAGGGGGGTCAAAGCAAGGGCAGTCAAAACCACAGGTCTGGCTTTGCTGGTTGGGTGGGCTGTAGTCAGGCTTACAGAAGAGCTGAAGTATCCCTGAGGCTATGGACTATTTCAAAAACAAGTTGGGACTTTTCCTAATTGGGGAAGAGAAATTAGGAACTGCAAAAGCAGCTAAAGGAAGTAATAGCTCATCTGCAAAACAGCAGAGGGCAGTGTAAGAGAGGAAGAAGCCCAGCATATAACCTCACTGGCTTTGGGGGAGTCAGAAACAGCAAGCAGCTGCTTTAGACACAGAGCAATATTTCATTGGGAACGTGGTCCTTAGAATGCGAGTTGTCCAAGCGATCTGTTCCCTCTTCACCAGTGATGTATGCCCTGAGGCTTTTTCAGTGATGTGTACCCAGAGGTGTTCCTTGTTATTTACCATGTCTATTGCCCAGATTTCAACATTCATCCAAATGGACCCATATAGAGTTTATCGAACAGTTGTATATCTGGGACAGATGATGCCGATGGACAAAGGAAATGAAAAGGAGGACAAGAGTGGGCCGGACTGCTTTGGGGACCGTACAAAGCACCTTTACTGATTTAAGCATAGCAGCAAGGCCTGTCTTTTCAATGCAAATATTTTATTGGTGATAGCATCAAGACATGGAACACCACTGCATTTGTGTAACTTAAAATGACCATCACAATGGGCCATGCAAAAGTGCCTGGCAGGTTATGAGCAAGCTGCAACATCTAACCAAACATATAACTAACAAAGAATTCTGAAGAACAGGTGCAAAGGTGGTCCAGTAGGCAGAGTGCTGGGCCTGAAGTCAGGAAGATCTGAGTCCAAATCCCATCTCAAACATTTACTAGCTAGGTGACCCCTGGACAAGTCACTCGACCTTTGTCGTCCTGGGTTTCCTCCTCTGTAAAATGGAGATAATAATAGCACTTGCCTTTCAGGGTTGTCGTGAAGATAAAATGAGATAATATTTGTAAAACTGTTTATAAACCTTAAAGCTCTATAAAAATGCTAATTATTATTGTTAAAGGATGTCATCAAAATTGCACAATAGAGAGTGATAAGAATGTGGTAAGAATGAAAATGACTCATGGCTGGTCAGAGTGTGCTACTAGTACTCTCAATGTCAGAGAAATCAAGGATTGGGTAGGCCCATGTGATAAACTTATGGGGTGATATGTATGAGAGTTGTACAGACTGGCAGGTATGGATAGGTTTTATTGGAAGGAATTCCCAAGTTGATGAGCTCATAGATCTATCTATTTGAACATTTGTATTCTGCTTTAATTACTGCCTTTTGCATTTAATATGTTAATATGTAATCTGATTTGGTCAGGTAAAAACTAGATGGAAATTCATGAACTATGAATTTTGAGTTGATGCTGATCCAAACAGTATCTTGAATTTGGGTAATTATTTTCAGGGGCCCACATTTAGGAAGGAGGTGGTACCAGCCTGTATATATATGTACATATATTAAGATACTATGAATGAATAAAAAAATTTTATTAAGTACTTGCTACAGCCACACACTGTGCTAAACGCCTGAGTTGTTCATACACAGAAGAACAAAACCACTTTGCATCAGTTCACATAGATCTTTCCATGTTCTTTCTGAAACCATGCTCCTTGTCATTTCTTATAGCACAATAGTACTCCGTCACAATCATATGCCACAATTTATTTAGCCATCCTCTCAGTTTCCAATTTGCTGCCACCACGAAAAGAGCTGCTATAAATATTTCTGTACACATAGGTCATTTTCTTTTTCTTTGATCTCTTTGGGGTACAGACCTAGTAGTGGTATTACCAGGTCAAAGGGTATGCATGCTTTTCCAAATTGTTCTCCAGAATGTCCATAGTTCCAAATTGTTCTCCAGAATGGTTGGACCAGTTCACAGCTCCACCAACATCAACTATCTCATTTTACCAGAGTAGGAAGCCTACTTGGGTCCTGGCTATACTGCTGGCCCCCATTTACTGCCATGGCAGCCTGTGTGGCAGTCTTATATGCACCACTGGGATAGTCCCATAATTTTCACCACTTTTTAAAACTAGAATTATTATTAATTTGTGACCTAAAGACACTGTCCTGGGCATAGGTGAAGGTTATCAATCAGAGAGTGACCAGATCCTTGAGTTAGAGCTTAGACATCATCCAATCAAACCTTCCACTCAGACTAGGGCTATCTTCCCCACACCTGATAGGCTCTGCCGAAGCACTTCTGGCAAGTATAATGATAGCTCACATTTTTATAGCCTTGTGAGGTAGGTAGTGTAAATTTTATTATGTCTATCTTACATCTGAAAAAAAAAACAAACATTGAGCAAGGTTAAGTGAATTTTCTATGGCTATACAACTAGTCAGGGGCAGGACTCAAACCCAAGTGTCCTGACTTCAAGTCCAATGCTCTTTTGACTATACTATCTGCTACTTCCAGTAGCAGGTTCTATTCTGGCAAAATCTACCTAAAGGGCATAAACTAAAGGAGAAAGGGCTGACTGCCAGCCAGGATTCAAGATGACAGGCTCACAGGAAAACATTAGTTCGCCTGGGAGTTCTAAGGATTTGTCACTATCTGGCTATATGGGCCACATGCCCCACAGTTCCGAAGAGTCCCACGGATTCATTTATTTTCAGAGAGGTGAGAGGACCAGCTTATTGCTTTTCTCTTCCAAAGATCAGAATGTGAGCCAGGATGTAGATATATAAGGTGTTTGTTCAAGAAGGCTTAGTTCTTGCAGCTATGGCCTCAAGAAAATTCTCAGTGGATATAAGTTACTTCATAGTAACTTGGCCAGGTCATCCACAAACTTGTCCCATTTCTTCTGCCAGACTTCCTTAGTGGTTTTCTTCTTGTCCACTGACAGGGAGCTATACCTGCAAGAACAAAAAGATAGTATCAGTCTTGAGAAAGGGCTCTGCTCAGGGGTCAGGTGGTGGTGGGGGTCCCGGGAAAGGACTCTGTTCAGGAAGGAGGGAGAAGAGGAGAGATTAGACCCCAGGACTGTGGTGACCTGCACTTTCTAGAGAGGAAGAAATAGGATATGAGCAGGGACACTCACTTGATTGAATTCAATGCCAGCTGTTTGAGGGTCCTCAAGTCAGCCTTCATCCCTCCAATGCCCATGAAAGCTTCATAGAAGTCATAAGACAAGCCCTTGGCCCCAAAGATAGATGGATCATCAGAACTGACCACCATAGGGTGCCCACTGGACATCAGAGAAGCTGCTGGGTGGTTCCTTAGGTCAGATACCAACTGGAGGACCTGCCAGGGAAAAATAGGAAGGCAAAAAAGCGTACTGCAAGTCACAAAAAGAAATAGAGAGATAAGACTCTGGATATCACACACAATTCCTTTCCAACTTCTATCATTATTCTGGATACCAGGCTAGTATTTAGGGATGGGTTTGACTGAGGAATAGATCAATCAATCAATAAGCATTTGTTAAACTACTATGTACTGGGGACTGTGTTAGGCACTAGAGATATAAGTACAAAGAATGAAACGATCTCTGTTCACAAAGAGCTTACATTCTAATGGAGCAAACACATATGTGGGCATGTCTGTGTGTGTGTGTGCGTGTGTGTGTGTGTGTGTGTATAATATAAATAAATACAAAGTAGTTAAATACAAGGTGGTTTGAGAAGGAAGGCACCGAGGGGAACAGGAAAAGCTTAAGGAAGAAGTTGATGTTTGAATTGCATTTTAAAAAAAGAAAGGCACCCTACAAGGCAGATGTAAGGAGCTAATTCATCACACACTTGTCAGGTCAGTCAGTCAACAAGCATTTATTAAATGCTTACTATGTGCCAGAATTGTGCTAAGACATGGGAATACAAAGAAAGGTAAAAAACACTGCCCTTACCTCCAAGGAATTTACATTCTAACGTGGAAAATAACATGCAAATACCTGTAATACAAGCTACACACAGTGCAAATGGAGGGTAATCTCAGAGGGAAGGCACTAGCAGTGGAAAGGAAAGGAAGAAAGGCTTCCTGCAGCAGGTAGGATTGAAATGGAGTATTAAAGGAAGCCACAAGCAGAAAGAAGTAGACAGAGAAGTTCCATTTAAAATAACTGCAAACAATGTAAAATACTTGGGAGTCTACCCACCACGACAGACCCAGGAACTATATGAACACAATTACAAAACACTTTTCACACAAATAAAGTCAGATCTAAACAACTGGAAAAATATCAATTGCTCATGGGTAGGCCGAGCCAATATAATAAAAATGACAATTCTACCTAAACTAATTTACCTATTCAGTGCCATACCAATCAAACTACCAAAGGTTATTTGAAAGAACAAGAAAAAATAACAAAATTCATCCGGAAGAATATCAAGGGAATTAATGAAAAAAAATACAAATACAAAGCAATATCAGATCTCAAACTATATTATAAAGCAGTAATCATCAAAACTATCTGGTTCTGGCTGAGAAACAGAATGGTGGGTCAGTGTAATAGATTAGGTACACAAGACACAGTAGTAAATGACCGTAGTAACCTAGTGTTTGCTAAACCCAAAGACCCCAGCCTTTGGGATAAGAATTCACTATTTGACAAAAACTGTTGGGAAAACTGGAAAACAATAGGGTGCAAACTAGGTGTAGACCAACATCTTGCATCATATACCAAGACACAATCAAAATGGGTACATGATTTAGACATAAAGGGTGACACCATAAGCAAATTAGAAGAGCAAGGAATATTTTACCTGTTAGGTCTATGGGGAAAGGAAGATTCATGACCAAACAAGAGATAGAGAGCATTATGAAGTATAAAATAGATAATTTTTGTTATATTAAATTAAAAAGCTTTTGCACAAACAAAACCAATGCAGTCAAGCTTAGAAGAAAAGCAGGAAGCTGGGAAACAATCTTTACAGCAAGTGTCTCTTAAGGCCTCATTTTTCAAATATACAGAGAACTGAGTCAAATTTATAACAGGCAATTTTCAGATGAAGAAACCAAAGCTATCTATAGTCATATGAAGAAGTGCTCTAAATCACTTTTGATTAGAGAAATGCAAATTAAAACAACTCTGACATAACTACCTCAACACCTATTAGATTGGGTTAAATATGCAGAAAAAGGAAAATGATAAATGTTGTAGAGGATGTGGAAAATTGGGACACTAATGCACTATTGGTGGACTTGTGAACTGACCCAGCCATTCTGGAGAGCAATTTGGAACTATGCCCAAAGAATAACCAAACTGTGCAATACCTTTTCATCCAGCAACACAGCACTAGTAGGTCTGTATCCAAAAGAGATTATGAAAAAAGGGAAAAGGACCTGCATGTACAAAAATATTTATAGCAGCCCTTTTCACGGTGGCAAAATATTGGAAATTGAGGGGATGTCCATCAATTGGGGAATGGCTAAACAAGTTGTGGTATATGAATGTAATGGAATACTATTGTGCAATAAGAAATAATGAGCAGGTAGATTTCAGAAAAACCTGGAAAGACTGATGAAAAATGAAATGAGCAGAACCAGGAAACATTGTACATGGATCAGCAATATTGTGTGATGATCAGCTACAAATGATTTAGCTCTTCTCAACAACACAATGATCCAAGACAAGCATAAAGGACCCATGCTATCCACATCCAGATAAAGAACTGATGGACTCTGAATGCAGATTGAAGCATACTTTTCTTCACTTTATTTTTTTCTGTTTTTTTTTCCTTTTGATCTATTTCTTCTTTCACAACTGTGACTAATATGGAAATGTGTTTTACATAATTGCCCATATATAACCTATATCAAATTGCCTAACATTTTAGGAAGGGGGAGGGAAAGGAGGGAGAAAAATCTGGAACTCAAAATCTTGTAAAAATGAATGCTAAAAATTGTCTTGACATACAATTGGGAAAAAATAAAATACTATAAAAATAAAACTAAAACTAAAAGGAAGCCACAGATGCCAGTAGTGGAGGTTAGGATGGGGAGCATTCCAAGCATGGAGCATAGCCAATGAAAAGGCATGGGGAGATGGAGGATGGAATGTACTGTCTGAAGAATACCAAGAAAGCCAGTGTCACCGGATCACAGGATATTGGAGAAGAGACTAAGACTGGAAAGGGCCAGGTTGAGAAGGGTTTTAAATGCCAAACAAATAATTTTATATTTAATTTTGGAAGTAATAGGAAGCCACTGGAGTTGCAAAGGCAAAGAAATGGTAGATGCAACTGGCACGTGTGAGGTGCCGGAAAAAGGCCAATTTAGCTAAATCATGGAGTATGGAAGGAGAAGTAATGTCCGATAAGGCTGTAAAGATAGATTGGAGCTAGTAGAGATTCACAATTTCATCTATAATCCTCTTCTTCTGTTCTGTAGTATATATGGAAATACTCATTTTATTTGCTGCTGATTAGATTCAGAATAAAAAAAATTCCTTTAATGAATTGAATGTTGCATAATGAAAAGAACACTGGACAAGAGACCTGGATTTGAACCCTGGCTGTGATACTTACTGGATATCTGACCATGGGCAAGTACTTAACCTCTCTAGATCACAGTATCCTCCTCTGTGAATGAAGGAGTTGAACTGGATGACCAATAAAATCCCTTCCAAGTCTAATATTTGATGATTTTGTATGTTTCTTCTTTTTCCAGCTAACTTCCTCACTTCTGTGTCTCCCACTGCTTCAGCCCCAATTCCTCCATCCTTTTGAGCATTTTCACTGTTGCTGGCCATGGTTCTGAGATCAGTTTTCACTATCAGAGTCACCATGCTTCATGGTACAGGCTCAGATAATTAATTCCCTGCACATCTCTGCTGACAAGATGAGAAAGAGAGGATATGTAGAAATGGGAATCATAAGAGGAATATGAATTAGAGCAGAAACAGGGGTCTTCGTAATAAACAGAGCTCTCCCTAAAAATGACTAGCATTGAGCACTCACTCATAGAGGACTAGAAGGAAACTTACATGAATTTCCTGATGAGATCTGGCCTAGAGTTAAACCCAGATACAAGCTCTGGGAATCATACCTGGTTAGAGATGGGACACACTTCTATTGGGATGTCCCTATTCCAAGAAACATTTCTGGCCATCGGGTGTCTGCCCAGAGCAAATCCATGGCCAATCCTGGTGGTGTTCAGCACTAGGGCATCCAGAACGTTCTCATCTATGGAAGTGCCCTGCCAATCTGGAGAGTAAGAATAAAGACTTTACTAATGGATGGAACCGGCTGTATGGACTACAACCTACCTCACAGGTTATTATGAGGAAAGCACCATAGTGCTATGTAAATATAAGATGGTGTTGTTATTGGTCTGGACCTATGATTTCATTGTCCTATGGAATTCTGTGTGTGGAAACTCCCTCTACCAGTACAGATCAGCAACTTAATCTATGACATATAGTCTTAGAGAATTATTCAGGGGCTTTAAGAGCTTAAATGATTGCACATGATCACACAACTTGTCAAGATTTGAACCCAGGTCTTCCTGACTTGAAGGTCAATCCTCCATACACCACACCACACACAGTCTCTTGTTATTACTATTATTCTAAGGAAAAAATCATCAGGCCCAGAAGAGTGACACACTCAGGAATGATAAGCATTCTATACCACATTGCCACTATTTTGGAATTTGATTATATTTTATTTAGTAACATTTTGTATTGTTCTTTGTTTCATATATTTGAATATATTTGTTTCATATATTTGAATCCTCTTTGCCCAGCTAGATTGTAAGCTTCTTCAGAGCAAAGAAACTGACAGGTTTGTTTTGAATCTCCCCCAAAAGAAAAGCTCGATACATCTGAACTGAGTTTGTTATTGTTCACTTGTTTCAGTCCTGTCTGACTTTTTGTGACCGCATTTGGGGTTTTCTTGGCAAATATATTCGAGTGTTTTGACATTTCCATCTCCAGCTCATTTTCCAGATGATTAACTGAGGCAAACAGGGTTAAGTGACTTGCCCAAGATCACACAGCTAGTAAGTGTCTGAGGTTATATTTGAACTCGGGAAGATGCCTTCCTGACTTCAGGTCCAGCACTGTAGCTGCCCCTCTCAAATGAATTAAATTGAATCTAATCAGATTGAATACATAGAGGCTGTAGAGAGGAGGTTTATGATGACAATGAAAGCAATATGACAGAAAAGGTAGAGATATTTTCAATGAATCTACTATAAAGCATAGGAAATGTATGGCTTGGTGAAAAGAGCATTAAATTTGAGGTGAGAGAAACTGAATTTAACTTCCAGCTCTATTATTTAGTGCCTAAATGTAACTGTCATTTTCTACCTATGTGACTTTAGGCAAACCACTTTATGTCTCTGGGCCTCAGTTTCCTGATTTGTGGCTTGATGGCTTTCATGGTCCCTTCTAGCCCCTAGTCTATGATTCTAGGATGGTAATGGTAAACACAAATTCAAGCCAGGCTTTATGGTACCAGCGTTACAGTATGCTTCCGTGCTAACCCGAAGGAGGCCTTTTGAAGAAACGCAGGGCTCTATGGCTGATATACCATTGAAGGACAGGGCACACTGCCTGCCCTCTACACTGGGCTCCCATCTAGCCAGCTTTCCTAGACTCAAGGAGCCTGGGAAAATGGCTCTGCTTCATGAACAGAGCTAGTAGGAAATATCATAAGGATTAATGGAGCCCATGGAACGGTCGTGTAGAAGCAGAAGATGAACCTGGATTGTCAGCGTCTCAAGACTAAAGAGACAGACATCTTGTGGCAAGAAGCTGCTGTTTTCATCACTGGCCTAATATACACTTCCTATGTGTTTTTGGATAATGATGATGAAGTGCATTAATTTGCATTCTCCCATATCCCATGAAGTTGAACACTGTGTATGTAGGTCGTGTGTTTTATGGCTCCTGAGGATGCTGCAGCTCACTTGTCTCTCCAGCGTGGAAGAAGTAAGGCAGGTCAAAGCCTTGAGTGGCTGGGAGGAGCAAAGCCTCCTTCAGGTCCCACAAGGAATGCCCCTTGTCCTCTTGACCCACCTGTAGGAGAGAAAAGGAGGCACACTGAGTCATTTACCTCATACATATACATACATATATATATATTATATATATATATATTTATATATATATATATATATCTTAGTTTTGCTCATGAGTTCTATGCCCTATCATTACTACTTTTCCATATATTCAGCCACCATTGCCGTTATGACCTGGGGCGAGTGACCAATAGCCTGGGAGGAGAAAGCACCAGGCTGAGAGTCAGGAGACCTAGTTCTAGACTCAGCTGTACCAATAACCAGCTGCATGATCTTGGATATGGGAGGCAACATCATCTCTCTGGGACTCAAGTTCCCTCAGCTACAAAATGAATGAATTAGACTAGATAAACCATAAAGTCTTTTTCATTTCTGACATGCTATGATTCTGTACAACTTTCATCCAGGGTATGAAGTGTGAACAGAGGATAATAATAACAGCTCAATTTATACAGAATTGTACAGTTTTTAAGTATCATTATTCCCATTTTGTAGAGGAAAAACAAGATTTGAGGGCTATGGGAACACAACCAGTAAATGTTAAAGCTAGGACTTGAGGTCAAATCTTCTTGGTTTCGAACACTCTTATCCTTTACACCATGCTGAGATACCATACCAAAACTTTTTAACAAACCGCGCCCCCCCCCCCAAATATTCCAGGCTTGTGCTTTTCTATCCATTCCCAGGGCTAGTCATGAGAGATGTGACTTGAGTGAATTCCCAGAGGCCAGGGCCAAGACCAAAATAAAAATAACTCCCCTTTACTCCCACTCTAAGTTAGGTGACAAAGGCTGGATAGAACTTTATTACTAGAAAACATAGGGATAAAGACTGTATCTGTGATTTTATTAGCACAGGGAAATACTTTTATTTCCAATGGAGGAAACACCTTCTACCAATGCCAAGTAGCACTTTCTCTCTGTAATTTATCATCTCAGAGTTGCCTAGAGCACTGAATTGTCCAGGGTCTCACTCGTAGTATGTATCAGACATGTGAACCTGGGTCTTCCTGGCTTCCTGGCCAGCTCACAGCTAAAATGTATTTCTTATCTAGGAAGAAGTCAGGTCTCCCTTTGGCTGATTAGCAGATTAGACTCCTTTGTCTGATTACCTAGCTTTCACATTGAAATCTCAGATTTGCCTTGAGATCTCAGAAAAATAGGGGGATAGAGGGCAGAGAGAGGAGAGAACAATAGGTTAGATAGGGCAAGCTCCTAGAGAATGGGGGTTAGGGATAAAAACAGAGTATAGAAGAAAAAATTCAACCATTTCATAATTTTTCTAGAGTCATTCCTGGCTCTCTTTCTCTGTGCGGTTAATGATTATCTTAGGCACCATTAGGCACAAAGGCCACTTCCAGGGGAAGGTGAGAAGACAGGAATAAAGGAAGAAATGGCTGTAATTAATGACCAAACCATCCTATTCCTCCTATTCTGGGAATAATTTTCTTTTTGAGCTTTTTTTTTTTAAGCTTTGGGTGCACCCCACCCCAACCCCTTCCTACCTTTTCTTCTCAAATGATTTCTCACCATCCCCAAGGTGTTCCCTTCATGAAGAATACATTACTCAGTCTGCATTCCATTTCTACCCCAAGATTGGTTCCAGCCTCCAGACTGCCACCCCATATGTTGTGGGCAATAAAAAGATGAAAGCTACCAGGTCAAATCCTGCCATGCTCTCTGGGAACTTGACTCTGAGCTTCATAGCTATCTGGACAGATTCAGCAACACGATCTACATCATTCTTCCTTAGGAAAAAAAAAAGAAGCACCTGTTACTGTGTTAATGGATTGAGTATTTCTCTAAGTGATTACCTCTTGCTTCTGGGGCTGTATCCTATTTTCATCACACTCCTATCACTCCCCGCCTCCAATACCCAGAAACACTACTCCAATCCCTAGGTGATAGAATAGTTTTTTCAAAATTCATCACCAATTGGTTCCAAAGTGATCCATCATCTTTGGAACTATGGACAAGGAAACTTTTTTTTTTTCCAAGTGTCATTAGGTTCCACATCTGTGGCAAATTTCTTACAGGCTTTGACATTTAAGGCCCCCCTAATTTGGTTTCAATCTTATTTCACAGTATTCCCCTTCATACATATTAAGCTCTAATCAAACTAAACTATTAACTGTTTTTTAATCATGCCCTGCTCTCTCTCTTACATCTTTGAATTCACTCAGATTATTTCCTATACCTGAAATTTTCTCCCTTCTCAACTTCACCTGTTGAAATCCTCTTCTTTCAATGGTCAGCTCAGATACAACCTCCTCTCCATCTTTACAAACCACATTGCTATTTTGTGCCCTTTCATTTTCTAATTTTGTTCCTCTTTCTCACTCAGGCCCTGACTCCCTGCCCACACTAAAGTCTAGGAACCAACCTTCTCTCACCTGTTATTGCTATAAATGATTCTGACTCCAGTGAAGTCAGGATGGTCTTTGGCAAACTTCTGGGCCACTTCTTGATAAGTCTTCAGTGACCACTCTTGGTCATGTGTTTGCCCATTTAGTTCATATACCTGAGAATAGTGGAGAGAAAAGAAGAACATATGATCCCAAATGGATCTCAGATAAGGAAGCAGGACCTAAGATAAGGAAGTAGGGAAGATCATCCCTACCAAACCTGTGAAAGGAACAAGAGTAGAATGGAGCAGATTCCTTGTGGCTCCCTATGTCTGTCATGAACCCATCTCCCTTTCCAGAGCAGATCTGTGTTCCCCTATCTGAAATGCCCAAGGCATAATTTTAAGTGTTAGTCCAATGTCAGGACAAGTTGTAGGACTTCCTCCATAGTTGGGGAAAGATAATAGATAAGTGACCAAACAATATCAATAGGTAATTTTCAAAGGAATACATTAAATCCATCAACAACCACATCTTAAAAAATGTTCTAAATGACTAGAAATTAGAGAAATGGAAATTAAAGCAACTGAGGTTCATCTGACACTCATCAGATTGGTAAAGATGACAAAGAAAAAAAATGGAAAATGACGGCTTTTGGAAGGGCTGAGGGAAAATAGACACATTAATATACTGTTAGTGGAGTTGTGAATTGGTACCACAATTCTGAAAAGCAATTCGAAACCATGCCAAAAAGTGATTAACTAAATCTTTGATCCAGCTACTAGGCCTGTATCACAAAGAGATCAAAGAAAGAGAAAAAGACCCGAAAGTGAAAACATATTTATAGCAGCCCTTTTGTAATGGCAAAGAGCTAGAAACTAAGAGAGTTCCCACCTATTAGGGATTACCTGGCAAATTATTGTATACCAATGTAATGGAACACTACTGTGCTATAACAAATGATGAAAGGGATAGTTTCAGAGAATCCTGGGAAGACTTGTATGAACTGATGCAAAGTGAAGTGAGCATAAACAGGAAAATGATTTATACAATAACAACATTATAAAGACAAACATCTTTGAAAGACGTAAGAGCTATAATCAATACAATGCCAATCACTATTCCAGAGGACCAGTGATGAAACATTCTATCCATCTAACAAAAAAGTGATGGACTCAAGATGCAGAATAAGACATATAGTTTTGATTATGGCCATTGTGGGAATTTATTTTGCTTCACTATGCATATTTGTTAGAAAGCCATCAATATCTTATGTGTCGTTTTTCATGAAGTGGCCAGCAATGGTTAGGATAGAGTTGCCCCACCCCATCCCCCAATAAAAAGAAAAGAAAAAGAGGTTTATTGAAACATGTTTAAATTCAAGGGAAAAAAAAATAGAAGGAAAGCCCAAAGCAATCACACAGACAACAGGACAGCCTGAAAGTTACATGTTGAATTTATTACATACCTAAAAATAAAGCAAACCGTATATAATAGATATTTTAAGCTTCATGCATGCTTTTCTTTCTCTGTTCTACTATGTATATGGAAATGTTTATTTTATTTGATATCTCCTAAATTCAAAATAATTTTTAAAAAAATATGGGGGTGGTGAAGAGGGACAAAGCAGGGGTGGGGGGAGTGTGTAAGAAATTATACCTTAAAGAAAGACACGTACTAATAGAAAAACTAGATTCAGCTCTTTTCCTCATATCAGGAGAATTGGTTCCATTCTTGACTCAAATTCACTACCAGAACATTGGTTATTGTCTACACAGGCTGGGTACATGTCTATGGACTTAGACCCTGAGCAATTGCCAGCAGTGCATTTGATGGCAAGTGTGGTAGGAACATGGTGCACCACATACACATCCTTTGTGTGCATAGGAACAACCGAGTCTAGGCCTCCCCCAGGCAAACAAAAGGCTTTGTTGAGTTTTTTCCTTGAATCTGAGCAAATTTGCCTTGTGCTTTTATCTCTCTGAATTATTTCCTCCCCCACCCCCATCCTCCACCCTCCCACACACACACACCTGAGGGAGATATTCAGAGAAAGAGACAGACTGGCAGAGAAGTTTTTGAATGTCACCCATAGAGAGGGTGGTTATTCTTTACCCTTTTCACCTGAGGGCATCAATGACCTCTTACTTGCAATGAGGCAGAAATCATGTGAGAAGAAAAAGGAAAGTTCATCTGTTCTTGTGACAATGAGCTGCCCTTTTTTGCTTCTTCTCTTCCTTCTTCTGCCCTGGTGATTTGAACTGCCAAGGAGAACCTTGGTGATCACAAGGAGAGGGAGTAGATACCATGACCAGCACCAGCCAGAAAGTATTACAACATGAAGACAGCCTCCAAGTCTGGAGCAATGAGTAATCCAAAGAAAATTATCTTACTTGCAAAGAGAAAACATTCAAAGTTGTTAAGACTATCAGAAACTATGAATCCCATTGAGCTGGTTAACTGGGAAAGTTGATTTCTCTTTTAGTCTGGGAGTATAAGATGGGAAATGCAAATCCTTCCTCTTATTCCTTCCCATAATTTAGGTCTTGGGCGTATGCATGTCTTGGATCACTCCCCCTCCCCCCTAGCCACACCCAAAGATCTGGAGGGCAAGGAAACAGAGCCCAGAGACAGTTGGAGTTGTATTTGATCTAGTTTCCCTTTCACTTTATCTTACATACAACAAACTGTGATCTCAGCAAGCTGTCTTCAAATCTATGGAGGTAATGGGAAGTAAATGGAGAAAGAGGAATCAATCCACAGAGTAGGGTGGAGGCTCTGAGTATAATTCCATCTCATCCTGTAGATTAATTTCAGATCTGGTCAATGAGGGGTTAATCAAAGTTGCTTTAGTGCCTAGGCCAAACAGAAGTATGGAGAGCAACCAAGTTGGTTATCAGCTGAGCACCCTCTGATGGCCAAAGGAAATATTTGTTGCCTTTTAGAAAGGGGTACTTTATATGTGTACCAGAGAGTAACAAACAAGGCTGGGTTGACAGCTCAAGAAGAGCATCTCCTGGTGGATAATTCAGATATTGTGCTCCCTTGGAAGATACTTAAAAGTGATGGACTCAATGCCTTTCTGTGGCTTTAGGAAGGCAGCACAACCAGAGTCCTATACAGATAAGGAAAATAAAGCCTAGGGTTCAATAAATTGTCCAAGGTTGCACAGGGTTTGAGCAGGGATTCAGACCCTTCACACACCCAGACCAATGCCCCCATTCTTATCTTTCTACCTCCCTTCTCCTCATTTCAATCTACCCTCCACACAACTGCCAAAGTGATCTTTTCTAAAAGTTTTTTCTTTGTATCCCCAGCAATTGTCACTTCACCTGATACATAGTAAGTGCATAATAAATGCTTGTTGATTGATTTCTACTTACTTCACCATGCTGCCTACTGGCTCCCCTCTATTTCAGTAAACTGGTTCACAGTAATAAAAGAACATTGGACTAGGAATCAGGAAGTCCAGGTTCAAATGTGGGCATTGATCCTTTCTATGTGACCATGAATATCATTTTATTTCCCTTAGATTAAGTTTCCTTGTCTTTAAAATCAGAATAATTTTATTTATTCAGGTTCTGATTCTTCCATTACTTTTCTTACAGACTTGTTTTGTTGTGGGCAAAACACTGTTAACCTTCAAGTAACATTTGTTAAAATAATGATGATGACAAATTCAGGGTACCACCCATTTTCTCAATAGGCTAGTGGTGATTGGCTGTTGCCACTAATATCTCTTTAACCCAAGTGCTCTTTTGCTTTCAGGATGAGATGGCCTCAGCTTTCCTCTTCCTCCCAGAGCTGTAGAAGCTGGGGGGAGGGGCAGTCCTTTCTTTTTCAGCCCCATAGCCTCATTGTTTCCTCTGTTGCAGCACATTGCTTGACATTTCAAAACCCCACCTCCCAACACTAGTTTCTATGCCCAGAAAAAAAGCACCATAGCACTATGGCCCTGTATTAAGAAGACTGACCTATTGCTTGACCTGTGGGTGACAGAGATGCTATATTAAAGCTACTACTCGAGTTTTCCATGAGGTCTCAACCTTCATCTATTGCTGACCCATTATTTGGAAGAAGGAATTTTAAAGCATAGCAACTTCTTGTTATTCTACAAGATGCATCTTTCTGTTCAATCTGTTCAAAGGTTACCTCCTCCATGAAGTCTTCCCTAAACTGCTCATAGGATTATGGCATTTAGAAAAGGAAAGGCCCTTAAAGATAATTTAATCTAACCTCTCATCTTCGCGGTGAGGAAAATAAAACCCAGAAGGTAAAGGGACTTGTTCACATCCTCTGACTCCAAATCCAATATTCTTTCAACTACAGCTGACTCATTGATCTCCCCTTTTCCTGAACTCTTGCAACATCCCCTACCAGTACATCTTAATTATATGTTATTTCTACTAAAGTCCTACTCAGATGCCTTATTATGGTGGAAATGACTTTCAGTTCTCAAAGGTTATGTCAAGCAGAACCCAAGCTGTAACACGAACAGCATCAGGCATTTGGATGTGAGCGTTCTTCTGAACTCTGTCCTGACCAAAGCATATCTGGAGTGTGGAGTGCAGACCTGGGGGCCATATTTTAGGAAAAACCCTGATAAGCTACAGAGTACCCAGAGGAAGGTAACCAGGAGAGTAAAGGGACCAGAGCTCCTGCCAAGTGAGGATCTATAGAAGGACTCAAGGAGGGTTAGCCTGGAGAAGAGAGAATTTAAGGGGTACATGATAGTGGTATTCAAATATATGAAGGACTATTGTGCGGAAAGATGGATTAGATTTGTTCTGGTTAGGCCCTGAGCTCAGAACTAAGAATAAAGAATAGAATCAAAAAGAGGCAAATTTTGGCTTCATGCTGGGGAAGATGTTCTAATAATTAAGCCTATCCAAAAATGGAATGACTGAGCTGCTTCAAGAAGTAACATGAGCCTCATTTCACTGGGGGTCTTAATTTAAGCAAAGGCTAAGTATAATGTAGAAGGCATTCTTGTTCAGGTACAGGTTGTACTAGATGTCCTCTTCCAATTCTGAGATTCAATGATTAATTGAATTCCAATACCAAATATTTGCTTAAGTAGAGACTCTACACAAATTCCTTGCAATCCTGGGATGGGGAGGGGAGTAAAATCAGTGACTCCTTATTGTAGCGCAGACCCCCATAACTTGGCAGTAGG